TCCAGGCAGAAGCTGGCGTGCAGGGCAGAGGCAGGCATCTGTGGTCAGAATCACCTGGGGCGGGGACGTATTTGCACATGATGCCTCAGCCAGCCGTAGGGAAGATCTGGACAAGCTAATCAGGGCGAGGCAGGCAGACAGAACCCAGTCCTGACTTCTACAAGCCAAAGCAAGGCAAGTGGTCAGAGTCCAGGAGTTGAACCAGTGACCACATGAAGACTATGCTCCAGGGCCAAAGCACAGAGGAGGAGGCACCATGTGTTAGGAGGACCTGTACACCACAGTTGCTGCTTCACTTATGGGAGCCTTAGGGATCTACAGATTGCTCCTTCTGTGGTAGGAGGGAGTGAAAGAGATAAGTATGACATTAATGGGAGAATCCACACAGAACAGAAAACAATGGGACAGGAAAGGCAACTCCTGAGAGACAACCATCTCTGCATAAAGGAACCTGGTTCAGTTCTCATCCTACTCCCTTTCTGAAATGAATGGCAAAAATACAGTACTGCAATCCCAACAGAACCTGGACAGAACCCAGCCATGTCAAAAACATTATTTTCCTGTACTGTTTGCTTTTAGCTAGAGATAGCATCCCCGCAGATCAGGAACTCTGGGTTTTCACCATTTCTCCTGGTGAGAGCCAAGAGATCAGTCCAGTCTGAGTCACAGAAAAATAACACCTAGAGAGATGAGCCAAATGCTCTTGTGTCATACCCAGTTCCTCTTGGGGAACAGGTGGGGGGTGGCAACACCAAATTCTCAGTGGACTTGAGCCTTTCTGGCTGATTGACACAGTGTGGGGTGGAGAGCACCTCAGTCTCTGAATTCATTTATCTCCAAAGGAAAGTTTGTAAAGCTCTCCATCTCCAAAAGTAACTCTTTCCAATGACCGTCCAGAAACCTTGTTCAAGAGTGACTGTACCCACACACTGGGCAGAGCAGAGCCAACTCTTTATCTTCAGTCTCATCTTGGAAAATGTGTTGATGTCTACTGGACCTATGATAATAGCCCTCTAAAAACTCATGCGATTCATCTCTTTCTCCCAGCATGACCAGTGCTTGGACTTTGCACATGGTAGGCACTGGGAACAGGTGGATTGAAAGCAACTGTTTCATGGGCTTTAAAAAAAAAAAAAAATCAAAACAAAATTTCAAAGTTAGACTAGGCTTAAAAAAAAAAAAAAAAAAACCCACCTTTCAGAAAACCACCAGACCAACTGTACCTCTGATTCTAATCCCTGTTACTCAGCTCCTCTCCCCTGTTTACTTATCTGGTGTGAAATTTATTCTTTGGCACCTGTTGGCAGTCTGCTTTCAATATTTGGGGGCATTTCACTTGATATACAGATTGCTGGATGGCAAGAATTGCTCATCTTCAATTACTTTGTTCTCCCCACAATGCCAGGAAAAGTGTCTTGGTCATAGAAGTGACTCAATTCATGATTGCTAAATAGCCAATTTCATTTGTAATTTCTGAGACAGCTCCAGGAGGGGAGGCAAAGAGGACCGATGTAATTAATAGATGGACTTGACTGATGTCTTTGCTCCAACAAGTGACTCGTGGAGCAAAGAGCCTCAGAGCCCTGTGGAGTAATGAAAGCTCCATGCTGGGCCACTGAGTTCATTGTATCCACCTGTCTTGAAAGTGCCACCCAAATATTCCTTCCTGTCACTGAGCTACTTGCATTTTTTAATGCTTCCCAAACAGAAGCAGAGTTGAAAACTGTTGGTCAGCTCCCAGCCCTACTCTTAGGGCCTCAGATGCCTTGCATGGAAATGAGACCTGAGTTGAAGAGGACCGGTTGAGCCTGAAGTTTCAACTCTACCCAGCTCGAGGACCACATGAAATATCTCCGCTATGTGGTCATCTGTCCTTTGACTTAACACTGCCTCTGACAGAGAGCCAACAACCTTCTGAAGGCCTATTCTACTACTCCAGAGCCCTGACTGTTAGAATATTCCTCCTCAGGCTGAGCTGAAAGCTATCAACAAATGCTACCCATAGGTTTTAATTTTGCCCTTCTGGAGCCACATAAAGTAACTCTTAAAGCCTCTTGCTTATGACAATCTTTTAAAGGGCTGAAGACAATATTCTTGACAATATATCCAAATAAAAACCTTAGTGTATGATACTGTAATGAACTGGAATCTGCACTTTCCTGACCATCTGGTTTAGGAGCCTCCCTCGGGCAAAGCCCTGAGGTAATATATGGCTGTACTTTATTTACTGGCAGACAGAGAGAGCCCCTTGTTCCTTACTGTGGTAACAACTGAGGTCGTTCATCACGCACTTGGCCCTTTTTGAAATTCACTCTGTAGCAAGCACTTTTTAAAGTCATGCACGTAATGCATTTTAAACAGCATTTTCTGCACAGACCCATTTGCTCGACCTCGGCACTAAGTGTGAGATGGTACAGTATTTCAGTGCAGTCCCCTGCTCCTCCTAGAGCCTGCAACACACAGTGAAATGTGTTTGTAACTACAAATGACTGGGGCTCAAAAATTCAGTGTTTTGTTAAATGTTCATTTGCTGATTAAAATGCATCTTTCAAAGAAAGCACATTGCTAATGTAGAATCTAGTCCAAAATATGTATTATGTAATGCATATTTTTTAATAATGCAGGCAATCTCAGTGTATCTATATTAGTGAATCGGCTCTGAGCTGTCATCTCCATTATAGGCATAAAGCACTCCATCTGAAAAATGAAGTACTTTCCTATGTACACTAAAGAATCATAATCTACCTCACTGCTGATAGCTGGCATTACTTTCCATTGAAAGAGCATTTACCAGCACCCAAATATTCCTGATTTCTTTCTTCAATATGCCCTGAAATCAGCTTGACCAACATTTTTATCCTCCATACACTGTTGGTGGAGCTGTTCTAATTGAAAGAAATAAAGCAGATGGATCAACATGAACAGAGCCTTTAGAAATCTCCCTATTAGTCAGGACTAGGAGGCAGAGTTCAGGATGTGAAATCTAGAGCTCCAAATGCCCCTGCCCAGTTCCCAATAATAATGCCCCCAAGATGATCAGAGCCATGCCAGTGCTCGTGATAATAAAAACTCTCCAGCTTCTCTGGAAAGTCTTAGAGTGGGACACAACCGGAACGCAGACTTCTGTCTTTTTGTGAGGCTAGCCAAATCAATTCTTCTTTATTAGAGTAATCCATATTTTAATGCTATAAACTTAACTCTTAGAACATGAGGTACAACACAGCCACCGCCACGATGCACAACAAAACCACCACCCATCAGAAGCAATGGCCGGAATCTCACTGAGATCTTAACTCTCCATCTGGCAGCTGTCATGCAGGCCTGGTGTCTAGAGAGTGAAGGTGGTGAGGAATGGCTTTGGGGGCAACTATTCAGCCACCAGAAAGGAGCACCAGTGGGGACCGCTGGTGGACCAAAGGAATTAGGAGAAGTAGCTTCTCCTCTCCAAGTTTTCCCACACTGATTCACAAAGAGAAAAGAGCCCAACTGGTGACACAAGTCTCAGGTGGAACAACCTTGGTGACGCTTCATAGATTCTAGGAAGTTGGTTGTTGGTTTTTGTTTTTGGGTTTTTTTCAGTACTGGGGATTGAACTCAGGTCCGTGAGCTTGCCAGGCAGGCACGTTGTCACTGAGCTAAATCCCTGACTCCTCCAGGAAGGTGGTTTAGCTCTGAGCTTTATCACCTTTGACCTCTCACTATAGCAAAAGGGGAGCTTGCATTTAACAGGGAGGACCAGACCAAAGACACACACCCTGGAAAAAAGCAGTCACATTACAGATTAAACTCTAGAGCTTCCCCACTGCAGGGCCCCCCCCCCGCCAACCCCATGGAGCTCATTTGATTTTCCAGAGCTGAGAAAGAATGGGACTAGTTAATTCCAATTCTTCAGCCGTCAGAGTTCAACACTACAATCCAGTGGTATCTGGCCGCCCCCTAGCTCTAATGCTCAGGCTGATCTGTTTTCTCTGATAGAATTCAAGCTGCATTAAACAATGAGAAGGACTGGGATGTAGCTCAGTGGTACAGCATTTACCTAGCACGCACAAGGCCGGGGTTCAATCCCCAGTATCGCCCCCCCCACCAAAAAAATAATAAATAAAAAAATCAGAGGTAAAAGGATTCAGTGTTCCCACTAACAGATTCAATTCTCTATATCCTTTCCTTAATGCAAGACTTTTTTGCCCAATATTCTGCCTTCAGTGCCTAGAATAGAGCTTAATATATGCTAAGCACTCCACGAATATGTCAAATGAAAACTTACCTAAGAAGCAGCTCTAAGAGCATCTGGTGAAGATTCTGTGAGAGCCGACCACTCTCCTCCCCGAGAGAGAGCAGCAGCTGTCAGACTGATCAGCAGTGGTGCAGCAGAGTCTTCTCTGACCCTGGCTCTTGGTCCTTCCAGCGCACACCTTCTCAGCTGGGGCCAACCATGGGTTTGCAGACTTGAGACCCACCTACCTCCAGAACCGTGGGGGCTTTCTTAAAAGAAGAGGCTTATTTGTCCATGAGATAACTAGCCAGTCCAGACTGCATAGGTCATACAGTTTTTGGGAAGCGTCTCTAACTGCAGTACTATAGCATATCTACCAAAGGTGGTCCTGCGATTAATGGCTGCCTGAGGTTACCACCCTCAAAACGTTAAAGCCCTCGGAAAATGCCCCGGGCTGGGTCATGAATACTCATGTACTCCCCTGAATATTTGCAATTCTGCAATCTCTTTTCAGCTGCTCAAGGGCTATGGTCATTTCGTCCAGGAGAAGCTGGGGTGGGGAGGGGGGCGGCCAATGTGGAGGAATCCGCTCCAGGTGCCCAAGCTAACCTACCTGTGGCTAGAGCTCTCTGGCTTGCTCGTTGGCATTCGCCAGCGCCAGCCCGCCCACCACCACCACGACTTTGCCCAAATCCTTCCAAACAAGGTTCCCTCCTGCCACCTGCCGGCCCACCAGGGTCTGCGCCACCCGCTCCGCGCCACAGCTCAGCTCGCAGGGAGGCGGCCCCCACCTCCCTACTGCACATGCCCGGCAGAAGTCCGGGCGCGCAACTTCGCAGGACCTCACCACCCCATCCTTCCCCGCCTCAGTCTCCTCTTTACTCTCCCCAGCGAGAGGACTAGCGGAGGCACCTCTCCTGAGCCTTAGACCACAGGGTCTAAGACTTAGCGAGAGGAGCCCGGGAGGAGACAGATCTTTTCTCCCCTTTCCTATCCCTTTTTTGGGGGTCTGCAGAGGCAAGCAGAGGCGCGGAGCTTTAGAAAGTTCGTAAGTGGTCAGGAAGGTAGGTGCATCTTTTTTTCTCCTCGTACAGAGGTGTAACTGGGACCTCTGGACCCAGCTTCTCACTCCCTAGGGTGCACCTTTTTCGGCTCCGGCGAGGCAGCCGATGCGCCTTGGAGCCGCGCTCTGCAGAGCCAGAGGGCGGGTCGGCTTCTCGGTGCGCGCCTGAGAGAATGGATCGGAGGTCCCGGGCTCAGCAGTGGCGCCGAGCTCGCCATAATTACAACGATCTGTGCCCACCTATAGGCCGCCGGGCAGCCACCGCGCTCCTCTGGCTCTCCTGCTCCATTGCGCTCCTCCGCGCCCTTGCCACCTCCAACGCCCGTGCCCAGCAGCGCGCGGCTGGGCAGCACCGGAGCTTCCTTAACGCCCATCATCGCTCCAGTGCCCCGGTATTCCCTGAGTCCTCTGAATCTGACTCTGACCACGAGCGCGAGGAGGGAGACCTCGAGCTGTCCCTTCCCGAGTGCCTAGAGTACGAAGAAGAGTTCGATTACGAGACCGAGACGGAGTCTGAAATCGAGTCTGAGACCGACTTCGAGACCGAGCCGGAGACCGAGCCAGAAGACGAGCGCGGCCCCCCGGTGCCCAAGGGCTCCACCTTCAACCAGTCTCTCACCCAGCGCCTGTACGCTCTGAAGTTACAGAGCCCCGACGCACAGCCCACCACTCAGGAGCCCCAGAGCTCCAGTGAGGGGGAGGAGCTCGAGCCCAACCAGAAGGATCCGCGGGACCCCGAGGAGTCTGCGGAGCCCAAGGAGAAGCAGCAGCAGCGCCGCTGCAAGCCAAAAAAGCCCTCCCGCCGCGACAGGTCCCCGGAGTCCCCTTCCAAAAAGGGACCCATCCCCATCCGGCGTTTCTAATGGAGGACGCCGTCCAGATTCTCCTCGTTTTCATGGATTCAGGTTAGTCGAGTTGCCCATGGGTAAACTGAGGAGGGACCCCAAAGGCAGTGCGAGGCGAGGTGGAAGGGAGGGGGCTCAGCTAACAGACCCAGAATCCAGAATGGAAGGTCAGGGTGAGCGGCCCAGGGTGCCCGGCCGGCTAAAGGTTTGCTGGACAGTGGGTCTCCCTGCGCCTCACTTGAGACAACCTGAGGTGTCTGAGCCGGTGCCCAGGTCAGGGGACTGAATCCTGCGCGCGCCTGGAGTTGTGAGCTGCACACCGAAGCGGCAATGGTAAGTCACTTGTTTTATGCGCTTGTTTTCCCTCCTCCTCCTAGAAAGATTAGTCTCAAACAAGTTGGTTTGGGCGAGTGCCCGAAATGTGGTTTGGAGGAGCGCGCGCCAACTTTCTCCATTCCAGAGGAGCCGCGCAGCAGCTACAGTGTTGTACTGTGCGCAGAGTAAGCAGAATGGGATTGGGCGAGAACTCCGGAGAAGACCGGTTCCGGAGAGAGGCAGCAGGCGCGCACCGCGCCCGGCGGGCTCGGAGCCTGGAACCCAGGTCCCCACGTTGCTAACTTAGAGCCGGGGACCTCGGCGCCAGTGCCCTCCGCCGCCGCGCACCAATCTTAGCCACCTCCGACCACCTTTCAGGCACTCGCGGGGCCACAGCACGGAAAAGAGCGTGAGCACCTGTCCGTGCTCCACAGAGCTAACCTCTCCGGGCGGGCCGGCTTCTCCCAGTGAATCACTGGTCCTTAAGCGGGCAGCGAGGAGAGATGCAGAAACTTTTGGAGGTGCCCCTAGGGCTACCAGGGTTGGCAGCGCGGACTTGATCACGTCGGGGCATTGCCATCCTTCTGGTGCCGCCGGGAAGGCGGCGGGGCTGGTTGCGGCTTGGCTAGAAGTTCCCGGGCTGTTTGCGCGCGGCGCTGGGAGAAAGGAGAAAAGCGACCAAGAGGTATGCG